CCAAAGCGTAACCGGTTCGTTTTCAACTGATGTGTAACTGGGATTGTAATTATATTCAACTAGTATCTGCTATAGCACATGACGCACGAACTTGATCAATCAGTGGTTAGCTTGAAATATGCCGGTGATACCGCCCCCGCCACTGCCTACGTGGAATATTCCACTGCTTTTCTACACCTATTGTGAGGAAACAAGGTGTAATGTTTGGTCTGGAGCGTTACACAAGCAGATATATTAAGTGCATGTGGAAGTAGGGGGTGTATGACATAGTTAGATGGTAGCACTTTGTAATGCCCAATGTGATGCCATATTTTAAAATTCTCAATCACCCCAGAAATTACTCGTCATATTGGAGTAAATTAATCAAAATGAAAGGTGTGTAGGCTCACTCTGACAGTTTTTATTAATATTTGAGCTGAAATCCTTCAGTAATAGCGAGATAACCGCGGACTACTCTGCTGTGAACTGTTAATTGGCAGCCAGTAATACATGCATAGGTAACTCAATATACCATACCTAACGGCTCAGGTACTATCTAAAAGCCCGGAATCGTGTTCGACCGATATTCTGCAGCTGCACAACACAGTTGCGAGGAATTCGGCTCCTCTATCGGCCCTCTAACGTATTACATGTACTTTCTGTTAAACATTACCGTTTTAAAGTGTATAAAGCAATCGTTAACTTAAAGTGAATCAGCCAGAAGGAAGCTTATAGGGCCGCAACGAAAGTTAATATGAAATTTCCAAACTGAAGTACCTTCCAGGAATCACGTGGGGTACGTTGGGTTGAACCCCTCGCAGCCGTGTCATGCTGCGGTGGAATGTCAAGTAAATGTGTCTGGGCTTTCAGTTAATACCTATCCTCTCAAGCATGGTATATCGTGCATCCTATGCATATACTACTGTTTGTCTGCTGTGAGTTTATGAATATTACGCAGTTATTCCACTGTGGCTGATAGACATCTACCAAATATTCATAGTAAGTGTAGATCCGAGCCTATGGGTTCCGAAAATAGGGAATTTACTCCAAACTAGCAATTAATTTTCGAGGAAGTTAAAAGCTGCAATTTCAAAAATGGAAGACTAGGGACCTGACGGATGATCTAAACCTATCGCGTCTGTGTCCTGCAGCAGCATAATATCGGCGAAGCACTTGTCTGCGGTCTCAGCTATTACCTGGGCTGACTGTTTAACATGATTCCACACACCGGTATACGACCGCCTCGCAGTTGGCATCGGGACAGAGGGGCGACATAAGTGTAATTCTGTCTTCCTGAATAAACGAGAATTTGCTGTTAAGGAGGGTGCGCTGGTGGTGGATGTTGTGCTCGTCTGCTTTCAGTCGGTGATTGCAACAGAAACAGCTATCGACAGGTCACGAATTGAAATAGGGCAGAGAGCGTTTGTTATCAAAGCCGGGTTTTCTTTCGTTTTACCTGGTGGTAAGTTAGATGCCAGTCGAGTTGGGACTGACAATGCTCGAGAATCCGACAGTACCCCACAGACTGTTTCTCAAAAAGTGATTAGCAGAGATAGCTGTTCAGTCTACATTCGTCTTTATACTGCCTATGCAAATAGCTGCTTACAGTTGGAGCCGCAGACTGCCAATTCAAGGCCCTATCCAACGACTTGATCGTTTGGCACACTCTCGCCAGCCAACCGACGTTCTTACGGCGCATACATCAGCGGGATTTTGTTACAGTAAAGCTACACAGGAGGATTTCCACCGTGGCCTTCTTCAACAACCTTGCGGTGCCTCTGAGCCTCAAAACAAACTGGGTGTTCTGGCGATTTCACACTTTGGGTAAGGTTCAATGCAAAATTATTGTTTATGTTCGTTCTGACAGCTGACATGCATGTTTGAGCGGAATTTCACCAGTTTTAACGGACTAACCACGTAGTATTAGGGAGATATCAACAAGCATTCAGTAGAGTAGAACCGTACATGAAGATTGAATCAACATAGTCTTAGCACAGATATTAGCTGCCAGTTTGATCGTCGCGAACAACGACCCCTGCTGTGTGCCCCACAGAGTGATCGGCGCAGGAGGGTGACTTTCGCGTGATGGCAGACTTACGCGGCATCGGCCACATTCTCTCCTGCCCACCTGAATGCGGTGGCCAGAAAGATTCAGGACAACAGGCGGCCGGTTTGGACGCGACTTTGAAAAAAGTAAACAGTCCGTCTACGCGTGGCACACACGATCTGGATCCACGGGGTTTTCTTAGAAAGGTTGGGCGGCTTGGGTCCCATCTCAGTGAGAATGGCACATTGGTCGCAACAGGAAGGGATCAGTCAGCCTGACCCCTTGTCATCAGGCCAGTCAACTGACATGCACGTGCGTTACGGACCACGAGGACGGAGTTAGCTCGTTGGTTTGCAGCCTTCTAAGACACGCCTTCTAGCACACCATAATAATTTCAAAGCGCGTCAGGTTTATTATAGTGGGGAATGCGCTGATGTACCGTGGCGATGAGTTCTCCAGAACCGGTCTGACTGTCGTTTTCCTCTCCCATTCATTGGTTGACTGTGCGAGCCTATAAGCCATCCGGTGCAAGGAGTGGACGCAGTGATTGACGAAGGTGCAAAGGCCTATCTACGTGTCAAGCACCAGATTGCGTTAAAGTGCAGGTTTCACACTGATGTGGGCGGTGTATGTTGTGTCCGTATGTCAGACGAGGCAAGTTCGCTTGTAAAGCAAGGTGTGGTTGTGGGGTAAGATTTACGGTAAAACGTAATGGTATGTCATTAAGACGCACATATCTGAATAGACCCAGGTGATGATAAAATGCCCTTGGGAAGTGTGTGCAGGTGAAGCGGATGCAAAAGGCGTATATCGGGACTCCCGACACTGGTACATCAGTCTCAGTGCGGCGGATTCACAAGTGCATAATTAGGCTGTTGCGTGCTGCTTATGTGCAGTGTCAGGTGGTCAGGGTTATGATTGGCTGAATGAAGGCAAACAAGCCCCGAAAAGTGCTATATCAATCTACACCCCAGACTCTGTCCTCTCCCATCTGACATATATACATATGCAGAATTTTATTACCGGCAAGAACAAGGGAGACTGGTAGGGCCATTTCTGGCTTATTAGCCGTAGTTAACCAGTCATACCTAATTCGGATGTGCAGGTGACCTAGGTGTGCGCCCGTTCCTGAGTGAATAAATATCCTATCTGCAGCGACAGGGAATGGCAGGTGGCGAGGCACTGATGAACTTCGGTTCGCTGAAGTGCTTATGACCCATTTGGTAGACCGCAGTAGTGGACCGGCTGCACCAGCTGCGTCTGAGCGCAAGTTTGTTTTTCCGGTACCAGCTGGTGGTCAGGGTTATGATTGGCTGAATGAAGGCAAACAAGCCAGAAACAGTCCTGTATCAATCTACTCCCAGACTCTGTCGTCTCCCCTCTGATATATATGTATATATGTGAGAAGAAGAGACGATCTCGGGAACCATAGTTGTATTGTCCTGACGTTTCAAAATCAAACAAGATTTCATCGTCGGAGGTGAGTTTTGTACCACGCCTCACAGTATTTATAGGTGGTAATGGTCTCCTTTCAACAGGTTTACCTCTCCTCGGGGGCCGGCTTTCGGGCGCTAGCCGTCATCGCACGTGTTCGAATGGATCTTGGTTCTCGTCCTAGGTTGGCAATCTTCTTTACGACCTCGTAACGGCCTGTGTTCTCACCTGCCGGATGAGTGGTAGTGACGCTGGCACCTTCGTCGGGTCCGTTTGTGTTACTGCGACCGTCCGTTTTCTCACCTGCCGGACAAGTGGGTGTCGCGACTGTTGTGGCGATCGCACCTTCGCCAGATCCAAGTTGAAGTGCAGCTGCGTTTGTGTCCCCCATGGACCCTGCCGCAATTGGGTTTCCGCGTTTGCTCGCCTGTTCTCTGAGCTTCGTCCGGAGGGCCTGGTAGGCTTCGGGAAGCGCTACACAGCGGCTGATGGAGTTCGTGCTGGCGTGCCAGGCCTCAATTGTTTCCCTGGTCACGCGATCATTTCCTCGGCCCAGGATTTCGGCACTCTGGAAAGCGAATGTGTGTCCAGAGTTTGCTCAGTGTTCTGCCACCAGGGATAACTGGTCCATCCTCCTTACGGCCCTCATGTGTTCTTTAACACGGGTCTGGAGTCGTTTACCGGTCTCCCCAATGTAGTTCATCGCGCAGGAGCCGCAATGGATCCGATAAATCACGTTTGTTGTTTCACCGGGTGGCAGCGGGGTCTTGGGTCTCATTACCAGATGCCGGATTGTTGACTCTGGCCGATGGGCAATGCCGATTCCCAGTGGCCTTAGGAGACGGGAGACCGCCTCAGAGACGCCGTCAATGAAAGAAAGGGCTCGCCAGACTTTTGGTCGCTCTGTCATTGGGCTTCGGCTTGGCACAGGCTGTCTGTTGCGTTCTATAAAATTTCGAGGATACCCGCTCGCCATGAAGAGGCGCTGAAGGTGGCGTAGTTCCGATCGTTTGTCGTCTGGCTCGCTGCAGTGTGTATCTGCCCTTTTGAATAGTGTGCGTACACAGTTGTGTTTGTGGGACAACGGGTGCTTGCTGTGTATATATGTGTACAGTTATGGTAAACAGTTATTGACTTCTGCTAAATCCCCAATTATTTTCTATTGGTGATGCTGCAAGACAAAGCGTGGTTGAAAAAGGAAACACGGACACCTGAAGTACATATAGTGTTGTCTTAAATTCCCTTGAAGTTAGATTTCTGGTTAGGGTTGATTTTGCAGTTAGCGCTGGAGTAAGATCTAGGCCTAAATTTAGACATAGGTTTAGAAGGGTCAAGACTGTGGTAATGTTTAAAGTTAGAGCTAGGAGTCAGGGTAGGCTTATGGAGGTTAGTGTTAGGGTTGGCGTTAAGATTATGGCTCATCTTTGGTTTAAAGTTAAATTTTTAACCTTAAGCGTTTCATGCATTATTCCTTCCATATTCCAAATTGGATATAAAGTGGAAGAAATTAACTTCAAAAATGCATCCATAACAATCATTTCAGACATTGCACATCAGTTTATATGTCTGTTCTTAAAAAAGTAATGTGTAGTTTATTTATATTCCCTGCAGCTTTATCGGGTCTCTTAAAATATCTTCACGCACAGGCCAAAGTTACTCAGGATCAGGGATCGCCTACGACTCCAGAGGTAGAGTGTTTAAGCACTGTCCGGGCCACGAGGCTGTTATAACCTCTCACTGTTATATGGCACGACCGAAGGTCAGTTACCCAAAAGCGCTCATTCATTGCTGCATTTGCCTTCCCGACAGACAGTTGACAGAACATCTTTGCGTTAATCGAGCTCATAGTCCTCAGTTTCCTTGCCAGGACTGAAAGTGTGAAACTCTGTTGTTTAGAAGCTCTCTGGTGTTCCTAATTCTGTTCCTCGACCTGACGAATCGCATTACCAATAATAAATAACCTTGAGTGGACGGTGGCAGAATGTGCCCAGCTGCGGATGTCCGTAGCGCAATTACTGTCCGTCTTTCTGAAGAACATCACTTTCCACCTCATTCATGAATTAGTTATTTCCACAACTGCGTACGAATTGGGTACCGAGGATACGGCGTTTGTTGTGAGTGTGAATTTATTCATAACAACTCGGACGGATGAGTGATACCGAGCGACTGTGCGAACGACTCTAGGCAGTTAGAACTCTCCCGCTTTTTTTATTGTTTCCATCTTTGGCAAACTGGGATGTTCCGTTTGCCTTAGAGTACAAAACAACCCTCTTGCGACCATCGGCCAGTATCTGTAGAAGTTTTACCGAGAAATCCAGTGACCGTGAAATAGTAATTCATGACTAAGATGCGTCATCAAACAGTGATGATCTAGCCCTCAGATACACCACGAGGTTCGAACCCCGAGTCAATTAATCACTGAATGACGCTCTTGTCGGCATCCTCGACTGCAGTTCTTCTTACATCAAAGGAATTGTTTGCGGATGTCTCCACTTACGGATTTTCTTTTTTAAATATGTCCGTAAGGCTGGGCCCGACCCACCCAACTGACTCAATGTCAGTAAACAATTTCCTCACATAGACACATGCATAAATCACCGATCTCACTGGTTACTCATGGCGTGTCAGATGACTTTCCGCTACACCTATTGTAAGCGGACTGGGGATCCTGTGCTTTGCATAGCAAAAAGGCCTAAAACAGTTAAATGAAAGTATTTTATTCAGTGTTCTCTGCTCCCATCCATAGTCTAACACCGGCTCTAGCCGCGTTTATCCGGTCCGTTCCATGGGAAATCATATTTGGCTGATTGCAGACGTGACGTTGAAGTCAAAATTATTAAAATTACCTTCACACATAAAATTGTGGCAAAGTGCACATTGACTAGTCACCGTGCAATGTCCCTTCTGCAATTGAAAGCCCCCCTTAAAACTGGTCACGCGGTAGATGCGCAGGACCAACACGAGGGCTACAACGGATTCTGACAGGTGTTATTAGGAATGGGTAGTTATAACAAATGTCACCATTCGGGATGGAATGCGGTAGGAGGCCCGCCGAGCATCGCTATCTGTGGTTGACTCCTGCCTCATGTTTGCGGACCGTGTGGTGATCCCATCTTCCCTCCGACCCACTGTACTACGCCAGTTTCATGCGGCCCATCCTGGTACCAGCCAAATGAAGTCTATTGCTCGCAGTTTTGCCTACTGGCCGGGTATCGACGACGACCTCGACGACCTGGTTTGACGCTGTTCTCCATGTCAGCAAACTGCCAAGATGCCGCCTCGTCAACCGTCAGTACCCTGGGAACCACCAGAGAGGCCTTGGTCACGCGTGCACATCGACTTCGCTGGCCCACTTAACGAAGTCTCCTACCTAATCTTGGTTGACGCCTACTCGAAATGGCCCGAGATTTCTCCGCTGAATCCAGCAACCGCATCTGCCACTATCGCCTTCCTACGACGCATCTTTAGCCAGCATGGCTTACCAGAAGTCCTGGTTTCAGATAATGGCTCTCAGTTTACTTCGTCTTCGTTTGAGGATTTCTGCCGCCAGCACAACATCCAGCATCTTCGCTCCCCGCCCTACCATCCTCAGTCTAACGGTCAGGCGAAGCGTTTTGTCGACACGTTTAAGAGAGCCCTCTTGAAAGCTCGTGGGGAGGGGACCACGGACGATATAGTGCAGGCATTCCTGTTTTCCTACAGGACAACACCGAACCCGGCGTCCCCTGGTGGCGTTTCTCCTGCCGAAGCGTTGATGGGCCGAAAACTGCGTACAACGTTTCATGCTCTCGTCCCTACCGGTGCGCAGCCCGCCCAGACTTCTCCAGTCTCTCGCAGCAAGCTCTCCATCGGAACACCTGGCTTCGTTCGTGATTATTGAGCGGGGTTCCCAGACTGCATTGAAGCAACCGTAGTATCGCACAGAGGCAGTATGGTGTTTGACGTCGACGTTGGTGATGACATCTGGGTTCGCCACCGCAACCAGATCCGACGGCGGCATTGCAGTAACACAACTGGGCTCGATTCGGCGCCGTCACTCTCTCTCGACATCCTACTGGATACCTTCGCCATTCCGGCAGATCAGTCGGTTCCCGAGCCCACTGCTGCGCCTCCTTTGGATATACCGCCTTCGGTATCAGTCACTGCCCCCGGGTCTCCAGACAACAAACCACAACTAAGACGCCGGACTAACCGCGTGCGCCGATCAACACTGCCGATGCAGATCAATCCACGCCAAAAGCGGTACTGACCCGATTGGAGGGGAGGTGTTGGGAGTGCCTACACTCCCAAAAACAAGAGCAAACCAATCACTGGAGACCACGTGCGATTGCTCTCTCTCCACAGCGCTGTCATCTCAATCAGGCGCCTTCGCATTGGCTACTCCCCCTCTTCCCGAAGGCCATTGGACCGAATGCCGGTGAACCACGCTAGAGTGTGATAATTATGCGTCACCCTTAACTAGACATGACTTGCAGTGTTTTCCTAGTACACATTCCGTGGCCAGCCGCGTTTTCTTTGTCTGCTGCTTTGGTATTCGGGACCAGGGTCGAGTGCGTATACGCTCCACGAGATTTCACGTACCAGGCGGGTCATAACAACCAGGGGTGTGATGATACACACAAGTTTGGTTTGGCCGTGCCAACCACCTGTGCCCTCTTCCGCCTTCGGTCTTCTTAACTATGTCTTGAAACCGGACCCAAGTAGGGAGTAGGAGAGTGTGCGGCAGGTGTTTTACAAGTCCACTAACACCAAGAAGTAACTCGTGCACATGTTACCGTGCCTGGCCTTATCTTGTTATGGAGCACAAGGTGGACGTCGTCGGCAACTACGGCCAGATTGTCACACGCCTATGAGCCTGAGTGCGGGCGTGGCTTCAGACTATTTGGCCCCCGTTTCCTGATAACCATTCTTAGAGCAAAAGTTCACACTTTTATCACAGGTGAAGCCGTCCGCATCCGCCGCATGAGCAACAACAGGGCATTTCAAGCCGTTCAGGTGAGACACACGGGGGGTTTGGGCATGCTCTTTGCTTTCGCTTCATTGTTTCGATGTTGTCGCCCTTAGTTCGACAGGACCTTCCGTCCAGATACTCTGGAGAGTTAAACCTCTTCAAAGTAACCCGTTAAGACACAGAGGTGGTAGTACTTCTATCGTCAGTACTCGGTCTCCGTCGCTAGGAACAGTGGATCACACTACCCTGACTCGCCACCGCATATCGTCACGAGCGGTACTAAGGCCGTTTAGATGAGATATGATGAGAGGAGTACCAAGCAGAAGTCCAGCTACCAGTCGTTGCCATTTGTTTTTGCAGACATCCTTCCATATTGGTGATTTATTGTCTCTGCGCATCCGACCAGACATGCATAAGGTGCGTAGGGCTAACTGGATAGGTGCTTGCTAAGCGGGTCGTCCGAGGGCGTGCGCAAACTGCCTAGAAAGTCATAATTAAATACGAAGTCAAAGGATGTCCTTTGCGCAGATTCGTGTGACTTGAAATGATGTCAAAATCATACTCTTAGATCAGATGGCTCCCCTTTTTTCGCAGAATTGTGGCGTCATTAAAGTCGAGGGGAAGGTGTCCTTCATGGAACGATAGGTGCGCACCAATTCATTGGCTTTCCGGAGGAAGCGAGGTCAGATGTTGAATGCAACACGCATTTGGCGATCTGCACTTAAAAACCCTGTTTCGAAAGTTTGGCTGCATTGAACAAGTCCTCCCTTATAGCCAGACGACTGCCCGTTGATTGGCAGCTGAAAGGGAATCTGAATTAACCTTGGTTGCTCGCGGGAAGATATGTAGGCCGTCTCCACTCGGTCGTAGACTGGCGATATTACAAGTCGAGCTAACAAATCTCCAAAATCCTCCGCCCATGGGAGTCGCAGCATGAGTCATATGCTACCCAAAACAAAAACAGTTCTCACACTCATGCCCACGACCATTAGTGATATATGGATCTTGTAGTCATTTGGGCTCGGTTTCATGCTGTGGCGACCATCGGGGGTCGGTCGCTGTGCTCACTGAATCTTTGTAAACCCAGGCATGAGAGGTGTGGGCTAGCAGGTTTCAGGACTGACGAATATCGCGTGTAGTTAGGCATCTGGAAAGACTGGCGGTTAATCAAATTGTCCGAAAGCACACGGTAGATCCTTTGTTGGGCCTAACTACGATCACTGTCGGGTGAGTTCGATTGCAGTGAGAAATTATTACACGACGCCGACCTGACCCTAGCTTCGAGAGCACATCTTGTCCAAGTGGACAGAATAGACTGCTGAAATAAGTTCGCTTGTGATATTATGGAGTGTATCGTCATACCAGATAAGAAAAATGTCTTTTTTAGTTAAAATGGAATTAGTCCGGACATAAGAGACTCAGCAAGCCTAAGTGCACTTCCTACGATGAGGCCGTAAACACATTTGGCGACTCAACTGCATCTTACCCTTAGGTGGCGACGGAAGAAATTTAATTTAACAATAGATTATGAAAGGGAGACTGCTGGCAGAGGAACTCAAAAAGGAATCTCCTATATATTACATTTGTTGCTGTGGACATATTGGAAACAACACGGCACTATGCCGTTAGTGCGACAAATTGCCCCTGAGTGTCTTCGTCATTATGAGCAGATCTCGATTGTTTTCCATTTTCTCACAAATATATGCAGATAGCATCGTTACTTACAAACTGAAAGTAGGTAACCTAGTATCTTTAACTAGACAGACGGCAAGATGTCTGCTTGTTGCCAGCGCAATATAGTGATCGAGATTCACATAGTCAATGAGGGGAGGGGGAGTGCATTTGACTCCGTAATCTTTGCTTAATAACATAATGATGTACGCAGGAAGTTTCGTTCTCAATCTGGACATTTGAAGATAGTGATTTGAACTCCAGTATCATTATGGTTCGCGTCGACGCACTCGAACTTGCACCACTTGTCCCATTTGAGGACGCATTAAACACACAACAAATGCGCCTTTGGGTCTCAGTGACGATGCGATTACATCAGCCGTCTTATGCTCATCTTAATATGCCATGGATTTGTCCATTTCTTATGCCACTTATTGAAATATATCCGAGTCGTTTAAAACGAGCTCCATTTTCTCCAAACCCATAGTTCTTAGCCTCAAAGGTAGTGACTCCATCAGTTTAGTCAGGTATATCCACAGCTGAGGGCTGAGGAAATCCATTCTCATTTTTACAGAGATTTTAGGGGGTCTGGTGGGAGGTAGGATTCGGGTATGTGAGTAATCTATTAAATTTTGCAGTTAGAACACGGAATTCGGTAGATGACATTGCTTTGCTGCTCGTTGGATACAGGATCTTTCACTCGGGACAGTGTTGCGCGCAGAGAGGACGCTTGCTTTTAGGCAATGGAGATGTCAAACCGGTTAAGTTGTCGGGCGATCGCTTCGGAAATGCCCTGAATGTAGGGTAGAGAGTTGAATTTCCGTAGTTCTGGCCCCTCATTGGAATCTAACGTCTTGTGGTTGTCTCTGATGCCTGAGACAATTTTTCACAAAGCTGACCGGGTATCCGCTGAGTCGAAATAACCGATACAAGAAAGCGAGTTCTTTCTTAAGTAAGTCATTGCTGCTGTAAGAACGATAGGCCCAGTGGAAAAGGGTTCGGATACAGCTCCCTTTATGAGCCGCAGGATGGTTGCTTTCATAATTAACAATGACGTGAGCACTTGAGTTTTTTCGGTAGACGCTCGCTGCAAGGCCGCCATCACTATACATAAATAACAGCAGCAGAGCAGCGGAGCAGCAGCAGACCATTGTCGTTTGAGCCGCGGAGACCGTGGGGACCCAGCACTCCCCTCCAGGCAGTATGGTCTGTGCCGACGCGGGCGTTGAAGTCACCAAGGACAATCAACTTGTCCGCCTTCGACACAGTCGCCAAGAGGGCGTGCAGGTCCTCGTAGAATTTGTCTCTGACGGCGTCGGGGCTGGTCAACGGCGGAGCGTAGGCGCTGATGACGGTGGCGAATTTGCCCCCACCACGGAGAGGCAGACGGAGGCTCATCAGGCGATCGTTGATGCCCTGCGGCAGACTGGGCAGTCGTCCCACGATGTCGGTCCGGATGGCGAAGGCGACGCCCGCGTCTCGTCGCTCTGCCTTGGGTCGACCACTGCAGAAGAAGGTGTAACCGGCACCCACCTCCTCCAGTTGGTCTTGTTCGGAGAAACGGGTCTCGCTGAGTGCGGCGATGTCCACCTTGTAGCGCGCCATTTCTCGTGCCACTAACGCTGTCCTCCGTTCCGGCCGGTTGCTCCTCGGATTGTCTAAAAGGGAACGAACATTCCAGGCTGCCAGAGCGAGCGGGCTCACCATGCCAGTCTGGTGACAACGAGTGGGGCAAATGGAAGGAGGTGGAGAAGAAGATGACGAAGGGGAAGAATAGGCAGAAGAATAGACGGAGGAAGAGGAAGAGGGGTTGGTTTCTCATGTGACATAAATTTGACGATCCTTCAATAAGCTTTTTGGCTTTATAAACGTAGTCTGTCCTGTCCTGTTCGACAGCTGAACTTCCCTTGTCCGCCGCCAGGATAACGGGTCTTTGTTGACCCTGAGTTCCCTTAGTGCATCGTGTTCGACCTTAGGTAGCACTTCGCGTAGCCAATGAGTCATGCAGGGGGACCACCGTTTGCGTCAGCCAAGGTTCTTCGTTTCGTCTGTCGGTTCCGTCTGGATGAGGACTGATTCCACTGCTGAAATCACGTTGGCAGGTTTGGCATTTGTGGTGTTAAGTTAGGCCTCATGACTAAACACCTCTATTCGTTCTTCTGCCAGGCCCTTTGACGACAGGTCGTGCACCGGTTTGTCAATTTTGGACCAGGCAGCCTACGGAACTTGTCCTCCATTGTTGTCTCGTGTATCGCGCTCCGTTCACGGGTTTATTTGAATAAGTCATGTGCCGTTCTCGCTCATGAACTCGCAACACCTCGTCTTCACTTTCTTACGCCTCTGACGGTGTTAGCGTAAAGGAGCACTCGGATCATTCGTCCGTCGTGGGGAAATACTGCACGTCTCGCCAGCTCTGCGTTTACCGGAGGCATGAATAAAAGACATTTGGGCAACACGTTGTTGTGCAGGCACCGAACCTGGGCACAGAGAGACGATCCACGATGGGCGAATGTTTACCGCCGTCGAGCCGATGGAAGCACATTGCGCCCAAACAGAGTGCCGATAAAGGGGAGTAGGCGAATTCCAGAAAGCAGCTCAGAAGAAGGTGCGATCGCTGGGACAAGAGATTTTTCAGCCTAACGTTTCGGATTCTCACTCGAATCCGTCACCAGGGTCAGGCACAGAAAAGGGTAGTCGAGACAGTATTTATAGGACGCAGTTGCTCGACAACCACATGCTTACAATGCTTAGCAACCCTCACGTTCATTGTTGGGGATCGTATTTGTTGCGATAATTGCTTGTCTGTCCGTACCTGAGCCTTGATTGCCGTGACTTACTCATCGTTGTTAATTTTTGACTTGACGACTACCTGGCAGTTTGACTTACTGTCACCGGAACTGTTGATCGTGCGAGCCCTGTCCTGGTGATTAATTATTTGGCCCAGGCAAAATCGCAGCACAGAATATGGAGGCGCAAGGTCATTGCGCTTGTTAACTGAATGCGGGCCGGTGAAGCATGACTCAGGCAGTTCGCATCTCACGTGGTTATCGATTCCTGTGGGAATCTTGGCCTCGTCAAATTAGAGTCACGATGTGAGAGCTAGCGTCATACCTTCCCACCGCTGCTGCATTTTCGGCCATTCGCGTTCGGAGTTATCCCCCAGTTCCTTTGACGAATTTGTTTGCCCACAACTGCGCCAGATCCGGTAAACGACCTCGTATGTTTCCTGCCGTGACATTAGGTCTTATGACCCCATGACTTGGTGTCCGATGACTGCCTTCGGTTTGTGTGCATCTCCAACTCCGGGCGGTGTGAGAAGGTGGCTGAAAGTTTTTACTTATTTGGTAGCAAATAACGTCGTCTTTACCTTTCATACTCGAAGAAAGAGTATACTTAAGCTCTGATAAAATTTCCCAATCCCCGAATAATTTTGAGCCTGATCAGCTGTTGTATTGACGTTTGGCGATTTCAGCCTACAAGGTGCATGCCTTCCGCGTAAGAAAAATCACATATTACTTTATGTCCTTACGAAGAAATCATATAGAATTCATAAAATTTCGCCATGCATGCGCACTATGTCATTTACTTTATGGGGAGCATTAGTACACGGACAGGTACGATGGACATTTCACCGTCTAAAAAATCTCATACTTAGAAACATTTTAGAATCAAAGAGTGCCGACATGATTTGCTACCAAACTTAAATTTATAAAATTTCTGAAAATGCAAAAGTCAGTTTTACGAATACATCTTTCTTTTCTGCAGTCGCAACAGTGGGCATTGCAATGCGTTCCCCAATATTTCGAAATATAAATCTATCTGGGTACCCGTTCTCGCGAAGTGTGTTCCGCAGCTGTTGGGGCTCTGCTTCAATGCAGATGACTTCCACTCCAGTTTCACAAAATCTCCCTACCTTTGGGAGGTAAAGACAGACTACCGTTGGAGGACACATCAATGTGCATCTACTCATTCACTTGCTCCTGTGGAGCGTGATACATCGGCCATACAACGAGACGCCTGGTAATGAGGGTGCGTGAACATTTGCCCGCCTGGCCAGACAGAGGTGAGACCCGATCGATTCCGAGTTCTATTCTCGCATGTTTAATCGATACGGATCACCAAGTCAATGCAAAGGAAGTATTTCAGGTTGTCTATCGGGCACGAACAAGCTTCTCTTAAGGCCTACGCCAACGGATACTAGCGACGGCCGAGGCAGTGGCTATACGGCTAGCGAATCCGATGTTATGCTGTCAGAAAACCCTGACACAAAAGCTCTCTCTGGCGTGGCCAACGCCACACGCAAGTGATGACGATATGCCGCCTCTAATCCCTAATTACAGTGATGAGTATTCCTTGTACTCAGTCCATGAACATCAATCAATGACTACCTTACCCTCATTCCCTAGCTCTAAGGACCAAGACCCCCCGACCTCGTCATGCGGGCGGTGTAGGGAAGAAGAGTGTTAATGGTTTAATAGCACTTGAGTCACCTATAAACACTGATAAGTTTGTGCATTTTCATTCACTCACGTAAGTATATTGACCTCACGAAGAATAGTCGAAAACACGTGACGGAAAAATTGAGTTTCACAGATGATTTCTTTTCCTCAAATTAGCGCAGAATTCGGTCAAACGTGCAGTCACCTTTTCAACGCGGACATAGACTTTATAGCATTCTTAAATGACCGATAGACGAACGAAAAGCTGCACAAAAATACTGAAGTTTCAAGCATCCTAAGAAACCTTGTCCACAAAATAATATAACCCAAAAGAGAGTCTGGGGGAGCGTAAATAGATAGAGGAGTGTTTCGGGCTTGTTTGCCTTTATTCAGCCAATCATAACCCTGACAACCAGCTGGGAGCGGAAACATAAACATGCGCGCAGACAGAGCTGACGCAATTGGTCCACCACTGGGGTCTACCAGATGGGTCATAAGCACTTCATCGAAGCGAACTTCATCAGTGCCTCGCCACCTGCCATTGTCCGTCGCTGCAGACGGTGCATTGATTGAGTGAGGAATGGGCGCACACCGATGCATTGGCTTCCCGAAGCAAAGGAGCATCTTATGGGCGATAGGGGTCACGAAGAGGCAGCCACCTACCAGACCGAAGTCGGCCAAGCTATGATAGCAGAGAGGAGAGGACAGAGTCTGGTGGGGGGTAGATTGACAGAGCATTATTTCGGACTTGAAGGGTGGTGGAGGACAGCGTGTGTGAGCTCAGATCTGTTTTAATGCCACAGCGAGCGCTCCATCCGCTTTATACTCCGTTGGATCCACAAATGCTTCAGGGTCAGGCAAGTCTTTGTTGTCTTTTATTAGGTAAAGACTTACCCTTTTTGCGATCGATTTGCCGATGTGCCTAGCCAGCTGAGTTCTTTTTATGACGAATCGTACTTCGGTTCCTTCCATGAACAGGGTATCACCGCTCGCAGTGTTTTAATTGTTTGAGCAATATCCTTTGTCCCCGAACCATTAGTAAGTTAGAAGTCCTCTCGTGTGCGTTCCAGTCCGAGATAATATGGATTCGTTGGAGTATCACGAAAATACTATCTTGAATATATCCAAATGCACACTTCCTTCAGATATCCTTACTTAGGCCTTATTCACGCGTGAGGTCCAATCAGCGGCTGTTCGAACATTCGAGATTTTTCCGTCAAGGGATTTTCGCGCACTCAACAGCCATTCCAAGACCGACACTCCATAGACCGACATGTTTTAGGAATCTCGACCCCAAATAAATAAGGCGTCATTTTATGAGTTGAAAAACCCTGTCTCCGCAGGCTGTGACAGTAGTGGTTGCTCTCAGGACATCTTGTATCTATCCATTGGGCTGTAACAGTGTTAAAATACTCAAGTTTCATTCCTTAATCCACACTTGGACAGTCATCACTGTCGTCTGTGCTTTCTTGTGATTCCCATCTGAGTACTCATAGTGTGCTCGGATTCCCACATCATAGCCACGCCTCCCCCTTCTATACAGCGCCGGTTAGGAGCTGAAACAGCTCCTTTGAAACAGTTTGTTCGAGGACTAGTCCCTTCTCTCGCTAAAGGTAAGTAAGTTAATCCAGCTTAGAGCCAGGACTGTTTGCAGTAAATAAGCCATGAGGGAGGCATCTTGTCCGATAATCATTCACAGCACCCACTAAACACACTATCTTAGACCGTGGAAGAGCCCGGGAGGCATAAGTCAAGACCTATTATTGTTATCAGACCGGAGAAAGGCCTCAAATTGGGACCAATCCTACCTCTCGACCTCCTCTCACTATTCTCTGTCTGATGCATTTTAACCCATTGCGACGCAGCGACGTTCATTGTGGCAGTCGTATCGGCCGGTATGACTACCTGCCTGTCAGGGAGGGCTGGTGTGTGAAGTGGGACCTGCAAAACCTCCGCCGATTTGGATTGCGTATATTCGGGCTGGTGGGGACGCAGTGGTTGCGAACACAGCCTCCCATTTTTCCTTTCGTAGGTTTCATCGGAAGCCTGGGTGCCGGCGGCATTTTCTTTGCGCCCTCCCTCCCCCTCTCCAGCAATCTCCGACTGAATGGTCTCCAACCGATCGGAACTGGCGCCGCTAGCGTTGATTTCCTCACCAACAGCGGCCTTGCTAACCACACTGACCGCTATCCGCACACTTCTTCGGCCAGTTTGACCCTGCCTGACAGCCTGGGTGTCAACAACGCTGGTGTTGTCTGTAGTGGAAGTAGTGGTTCCTCTTTCGATCCTCGCCACTTCTTCATGGATCACATCTACCCGCCCTCCACCACCGTGAGTGGTAACAGTAACGGTGGTAGTGGCGGTAGCGGTGATGGTGATGGTGACGGTAATAACAACTCTGGCAACTTCAGGGCCGTCACCTCCGTCTCTCCGACGTCGACTGTGAACTTCCCCTATGATTCTGCATTCCACTCCCTTTCCGTCAGTCTCGGTCTTAAGTCCTTAATTCCCCTCGTTCAGTGATTTTTTCATCCTCTCTGTCTTTATCTCAGTTCTTAACCGATGCCTCAAGCATCCTATATACATATATATATATATATATGGAAGAAGGTAAAGAGATCTCTGGGGAGGATGATTTATTCATCTGACGTTTCACACTCATACTTGAGCGCATCATCGGAGATAGATTAAATGTGGGAATACAAGGT